TACTGTAGTTTACTTTCGTCTAAAGTGTTGTTTCTTACATAAATATCATAGTACTTAATAAGGCACCGATGCCCATCTTATATTCAGCTATTGTAGATATAAAGAAACAGATACAATATTATTATTGCTACAACCATTTAGTACCCGGGTATCAACTCGCATTATATTTTTCACAACTCGTATTCTAATGCTAGTTAGGTAGAGTGTATACAAAACTTTATTTTTATACAAACGATAAAAATATTTGACATAACATCAAAACATAATGATCACTGCCAATTATACTTACTAACTTATGAAATAAATCCGTATGAACGTTGAAACTAATCCGTATAAATCCAAATTAATATTAACTTAATATTGCCTTTTTAAGCTTTATTTATACAAAGTGACTGTAGTGCCTATTTATATCAAATGACTTTAATAAAGTATTCAAGGATAAAACAATGATCTGTTAGATTTAAACAATTGTTTTTTATAGACACTTTAAGATTGGTGTCAAGATTATGATGATTTTTCAATGGTATGGTATAATACATGTATCATAGGAGAAGACAAAACAATTATGACATTAACATAACGTTGTAATACCATGCCCTGATACACATCTCAATATTAAAGTCTGGGTCAATACATTTTTCTCTACATTAGATTGATAGATATGATGGATTTTTGTTAATAACTTAATGCTTACGTTTAAATATGTATTTCTATGAATAAAACATTATTACGCTACTTTTCAAAATATTAATAATAATAATAATAATAATAATAATAATAATAATAATGATGATGATGATGATGATGATGATGATGATGATGATGATGATGATGATGATAATAATAATGATGATGATAATGATGATGATGATAATAAAAATAATAATAATAATAATAATAATAACGCACGTGTAAGACATTAATTTAATTACAGAACGGTAAAGGTGCCTGGCTCACAAACTCGAGCCTTGATCGGACCACGGCTGTGTTTCCTTATATAGCACAAGTACTTGTTAGTTTCCGGAAAGCGAGTAAACATATTGTCTTTTAACTAAAAGTACTGAAATAAAACAGGTTATGATGGTATTCCGTATTTCAGTTGTTTGGAGAAAAGAAATGAACCGCGTCACGACAACACCAACATAGCGCGTTTGCGACCAGCATGGATCCAGACCAGCCTGCGCATCCGCGCAGTCTGATCAGGATCCATGCTGTTCGATTACAAACCCTATTACAAGTAGAGAAACCGATAGCGAACAGCATAGATCCTGATCAGACTGTGCGGATGCGCAGGCTGGTCTGGTTCCATGCTGGTCGCAAACCCATTATGTTGTTTTTGTCATGACACGGCTCAAATTTAAGTTGATAAATTTGTTTAAAAACTTGTCATATTGAGCATTGACACATTGGAAATAAAACTGGTTCTATACAGTGTGTTGTGTATTTTCTATTAGCGCATGACTATGAACTTTATATCACATGCTGTTGGATCTAAAAAATAATTTGCTAATATTGACAATATGTTTTCATAAACGTCCGGTATGTGTTTGTGTTGACTTCTAAATATTTGCATAGTACATTAGTTATGGAATCTAAAATTTTAATGATTTATGTTAGATTCAAGATTTCAAGATTTCAAGATTTTATTTCAAAAGGCATAAACATTTTACAATGTCCGTCGCCATAAACAGAATGACGGTTACAAATAGTATATGAGAAAAGTATGTAACTGTATACAAATAATTTTTACATTAACATTTTTATATTTAAAGAACACATAATTATACATTGTATTTCAATATATGTTTGTAAATAAAAGTGTGCTATATATACCAATATCATTATTTGAAAACAATCAACCATTCGTTCTATCACGTAATGCATTTGCAAAGTAGATATATTTTGATAATCTATTAACAGTTCCATGCTTAGAATTTTTCATTAAAGATATAAATTTATTTAAAGTAGGCCAAGAGCAATAATATTTTGGTAAATGTTCTTTCCTTAATTCCCTATAAAAAGGACAAACTAGTAAAAAAAATTAGAATAAACAGTTAGAATAAACAGGGTGAAAATAGTGTAGGTGTGTATCATATACCTGTAGTTATAATTAATACTGAGGTATTCAGACTTGAACATTATTTAATTAGTGTGACAGTACATACGCACCTGTTGCAAATAAATATATTTTACGTCGTATAAAAAGTAAATAAGAACAGAAAAGAACAGAAAAAAATAAGAAAAAGAATTGGATATGAAATTATGTATTTTTAGAACTTCAAAGTAAACTGCCGCTGCGGAAGACACCGATATGTCACTAATATCTCAAAACCATTGATTAATAATGTCATTAAATAAAGTGTATCATATTTCCCTCCGTACTGCATTCAATTCGGTTTTACAACGGTATTAAGTTGAAACTGGTGTTAACATCTAGATAATAAATAATAAAACATTCTTCAAGAGATTTGATAGTTACACTAATGTATAATAGTATCTAGTTCTTATCTTATCTATTTGACATTAAAACTGTAATTTTATTCATAGTACCCAAGTATTTCACACTATTTCATGGGTGCAGATTACGTTAAACTAAAAATCTTAAAATCACTGAAATAATAAATAAGACGGTTATTGTACGGTTTAATAGAACAAAGTATTCAGGCCTGTTATATGGTAAAAATTTGCTAAGAAATGAAGTATATAATTGAATGACGCTTTATTGAAAAATAGAACAGTATCTAAGACAGACTGAAGCTATTGAAATATTGATTTTTTTAGTTGTGGAAATAATAATAAAATCAAAAATATAACAGCCGAAAAATAAGTTTATCCAAACAACAGGTCTTCTTTTGTAAAGCAAGGAATCGCTTCATACTAGCGGGTCTCTCTTTGTACATGTGGGTCTCGCTTTTTACAGGTGGTTTTAATTTTTTAAAGGTGGGTATACACTTTTAAAGGTGAGTCTAGTTCATAGAGGTGGGTTTTGCTTTTTACAGGTGGTTCTCGCTTTATACAGGTGGAACTCGTTTCATACAGGTGGGTCTTGCTTTATACAGGTGGGTCTCGCTTTTTACAGGTGGTTTTAATTTTTTAAAGGTGGGTATACACTTTTAAAGGTGAGTCTAGTTCATACAGGTGGGTTTTGCTTTTTACAGGTGGTTCTCGCTTTATACAGGTGGAACTCGTTTCATACACGTGGGTCTTGCTTTATACATGTAAGTCTCGCTTTTTACAGGTGGTTTTAATTTTTTAAAGGTGGGTATACACTTTTAAAGGTGAGTCTAGTTCATACAGGTGGGTTTTGCTTTTTACAGGTGGTTCTCGCTTTATACAGGTGGAACTCGTTTCATACAGGTGGGTCTTGCTTTATACAGGTGGGTCTCGCTTTATACAGATGGGTCTTGCTTTATACAGGTGGGTCTCGCTTTATACAGATGGGTCTTGCTTTATACAGGTCGGTCTCGCTTTATACAAATGGGTGTGGTTCTCACTTTATACAGATGCGTCTCGCTTTATACAGGTGGGTATCGCTTTGTAAAGGTGACTCTCGCTTTGTTCAGGTGGGTCTCGCTTTGTAAAGATGGCAAAGCCGTGTTGCTTACAGGGATTATCCTCGGTAATGCAAATATTTACCGAACAACATACTGAGTAATGCATATTAACTTTAACGAATTGATCCGACGATATCAATTTCCTTCCTGGAATCAATTCTTGTCAGTTCGTTTCTATATAGGATTTTGCAAGTTTATCTACTTTACTGAGCGGAAAAAACATGCCTTATATGTAATCACTATGGCGTTTTTAGGACTTTTGTCTTCGCGTTTTAAAAACCCCACGAAGTTATTTTGTCTTAAATCAGACTTCATGAGGTATAAAAAGGAATGCGGCGAGTTTATATCAATAAAAGAAGAAAGAACAGGTGTGCATAGAATAAATAACGACCACTTTATAATGCACTATGTTATCGTAACTGGCAATATATTTGAAATAATGAAAGCTTTATTGCATTTTAAGAAACAATTACAGAACATACATATTTGTTTTAAACAATCTTTTGAGTATATCAAAAAAAAATCTCACTTACTTTAGATAGTGTAAATTACGGTGATTCAGTTCCGTACACAGGAAGAAACGTTAAAGTTTTGATCGTTTTGTCAATAATCTCAATTAATATTGATAAATAAGTATATGTATATACACTGTAGGATGGTCTAACTTACCTAAATACGTAAGCATGCACGGAGATACGGTTTAATATGAGCAAATATTTTTCATAAGCAATAATATATTACATTGGTAAAAAACAGGGTATATTATAAGAATTGCTTCATCAAATAGATCAGCGACTTTAATTTTATCATTGACTTTACATGGGACAAGTAAAACGGCCTGAACTGTCCAACTTATGAAAATTATATTGGACGATTCAGCGTCCAATATGGGAATATATTGGATTGTCAAGTAGTAGAATTTAAAAGTCATGATTGGATTTTTATAAATGATATAGAGTAATTATTTTTCATTATAAACTTTGAATTCCTTATTTTAAAGGTGATATATAATTCTCAGAATATCATTAGTGACCTTTGTCGTACACTGATATTTGAGCCGCGAGACGACAAAACCAACATTTGCGACCAGCATGGATCCAGACCAGCCTGCGTATCCGCGCAGTCTGATCAGGATCCATGCTGTTCGCCTACAAACCCTATAACAAGTAGAGAAACTGATAGCGAACAGCATGGATCCTGATCAGACTGCGCGGATGCGCAGGCTGGTCTGGATCCATGCTGGTCGCAAACCCATTTTGTTGGTTTTGTCGTGACGCGGCTCATTTAACTATTGAAATAGTTGCAATAGCGCCAATCACAATTATCAGATCATGTTTGAAATATCATATTACAACTTTATCAATATAAATTTTGTATAAGGTACTAATAAAATCACATAAGCTATGCATCACTGTTTAAAGTTATTATTTACTACGAAATACTTACTCTCTGTAGACTTCATATGAGGTGTGGTATCGCCCCGGCATCTTTATTTCCTAGGTAACCTTATACGAATAATTTAACAAGTTAATTTGATTTTGATTCCTTTTATTAAGTTATATCCTCACTTTTGTAAATTAAATGACATTTATAATAATTTATTTCTTACTCCAATATATTAACTACATTCTGCGTGAAAATTGAAAGTATATGTCACTCAATCCACTGTAACCAGGGAATTTAAACTAGCTTTCCTTCACTTCTATATTGCACCTTGACAAAATCTATTATCAGGTAATAAATGCTTTAGCTCCCGCTTCAATATAAATGCGACTGCCGTGTATTCAAATACGTAATTCAAACAAACTTTGCCATTAACTTTCAATAAATTTTGAAAAGTTTTATATAGCCACATAGATATCCTTTTCACTGTATGGATTGTGCGAGTTTAAAAGGTAGATACACAAAAAACGTATTGAATGTATTATCGGCTTCAATACTGAAAATAATCTCTCAAATATTGAAGAATACCTCGGTATTAACTTTATAAATGGGGGCTTGAAAGGAATTTTATATTTACCTAAATGTAATTAAATAAAAGGAAATAATTGTCATAGAAAGTCAATTGTTAAACCGTCAAGGATAATAAATTTTTATTTAAAATACGAACATATACAAAAAAAAATCTATATAAAAGATAATAAACAACTCAAATATTCTAATGATTTTTGTTGAAATTTGATTCCTTTTATCAATGAGTACAAACAAGAAGTTTAAAATCATCAACTTAAAGTGAATTAAAATGGTTCAAGATATATGAGCACAGTTTAGCATAATAATTCATAAATTATTTATTAATGGTATTGACCTTTCCGTTAGTTGGAGATAGATTACTTATTAATTACTTGTAATTTTATAGTTATCTTATCTTTATTTCCACACGAAATACAGTCATAGTGTAAGTTAACTGTATCTTTAATCTTTCTAGTGTAATACATGTATCATTTTTGAATAAAGATCCGGTCAAATTTGATCTTCTCTAGATATTTGATTTTGATAATGGTTAATAGTGTGTGTGTGCGTGTGTGTGTTGGTGTGCGTGCGTGTGCGTGTGTTGATGTCATGCACTGTCCGATATTTTGCACATATGTGTCCTCGTGGAATTTAAAGCCTTCTGGAATAAAATGAAATGTGTACTCTTTAAGTCAAGGTTCGCGGCAAGAATCTTTATTTAGCATCAAAATGGAAACACGTTATCCTTAAAATAGTATTTCAATAAATGTAAAACCTGAGGTCTCTCATTAAGCGTGTTTATATTAAGAATTAGATATCAACGACAAATGGAACAGTTGGAAGCTGCAAAATGAATTATTTTTTTAAAGACTCAATGTGTCTTCATAATTAAAATAATCAATAATTTAAGGTCACATTTCCGGGTATGTCCATAAACAAACAAAAAACAGTAAGAACGAAATATAAAACAGACGATATAATTTTATTAAGAAAACAGAAGAGTAAATAAATATCTAAATTGTACAATACAATATACAATATTTGATATGTTTTAAGATAAAATTCATTTTGTAACAATTAACAAAGTAAGGACGGTTTTTGATATAAAATATATCTGATCAAGTTAAAGAATAAACACTTACATGTACAAATGTACTAATATACTTGTCAAAGAACGAAAATGTTACAAAATTTAGATTAATTTAATCTGTTCTGTAATCAAATTGACTTTTTTATGCGAAGGCAATTGTATATTAAACAAAATTGTTTATGTCTTAAATGTAAGTACCATGTAGTTAATTAAAATTCATCTTTTATCAATTATCAAAAATATAAACCCTGGCAAGAAAAGGGCCTTAATTTACAAAGAAGGATAATCCTAACAAAATTTATATAGAATGATTTAACAGTAGTCTCCCATTACTCAAATACGAAAAAAAAAACAATAAAAAAACAAACTTGTGTGAAACTGTACTGTATAGACATGATAATTCCATGGTAATAATGAGGCTCCTTTAAATAATTAACTTAAATGGAAAGAATGTGTTTTTCTGCAACAAACTTGAAATGTTTCCTCATGTTTTAATTTCATAAACTAAAGCAACTGAAAACAGCCAACACAAAGCGGTAAATTTTATGGTTATAAGTTTTCTTACAATGCGTTAACTAAACAAAAAATACAATACAAGTCAGATATAAAAAAGAAATATGTTTAAATCATATAAAACTGTCTATACATTTATATTTGTATATATTATAACTGTGTCTTTTTGTATTCTTTACTTCCATAACGAAATATGAGGCGAAACTGTTGAGGAAACATCAGTTTATTTATTTGCTAACAATACTTCCATAGAAACCTCATCAAACAAAACAATAAATGACTGTTAAAGAGGGCATAAAAAAAGATCTGTACACTTGTAGGCATTTATTTCAAACTTAATCTAAAGTCCGTTTCATTCTGATGCACATAGCTTCATTGATGTGCCGATTCACTTAAATAAAATCTTTATGTCGATTTGAATCACTGTTGCTTGACATTGCTTCAAACGTTTTAAACATGTCCACTGCAAACACTATGGTTAGACTATCCCTCTGTTTCATGTTTATTATTTTTAAAAAATCAATATAACCAGGCAAAAAATCTCTTGGTATCATTCACAATTACCAAAGCTCAAAGCGGTTCAGACACTTTCATATATGTAACACTTATGAAATGTCTTTTAAATCTTAGAAAAAAAATCTTTAAAAAAACCCACCAACATTTTGTTTTAAGTTGCCATTCTCATATCACATTGAATTAAGTACCATCACAGCTTTAAATAACATACATATCTTAAAATGGCTAAGAAAGTCTGCATCGAAATAGAAATGAGCGGAGTAGTTGAGCGTCAAGCATATCTTTTAACATTTATCTCATTCTTTACATGAAAACAAGCATTGGTGCAATTTCTCTCATAAACGATTATACTACAGTTATTCTTGAAAAGACCAAGTTAAAACTTTACCCTGCCATACCAAAAATTGTTTAGCTTGCGCCACTCAGTATAGAGCCAGACTGACCTCCACATCCAGCAGTCTGACAGGGCTCTATTTTGTTGGCTGACCAATTTCAAATCAAATTGATAATAGATGGTTTGAAGAAAGGTGGGCATGTTCATTTAAGAAGATTAAGTGTTAATATATTATGTATACAAAGTAAATATATCTTGCTGAAGAGAAAACAATACATGAACATACTAATTAGAGAGACGCCAGTTAACAATTATATTTACATTAAGAAAATCTTCAAGAGTATCACAGTTCAATGAATAAAATATAGCATATATACAAACTTCATAAATTTTGTAACAACATTTAAATATATCTACAAGTAACAGTTGTAAATGTGAATAATAAAGAAATAACCACGTGCTATTATATGTGTGTGAACAAAATCCTTTTCCTGCCATACGAAATGGTTTTGATTTTCATACATAAGTAAACAACAAGGTCAACTTTGAACTTTTAGTTAGTGTGTAACCAGATTGTAAGAATGTCACTTAACTTATAAAAATAAAAAGTAAACTATTATCAAACAAAATCCTAGTGTCTTATAAGTACATTGAAAATAACATTTTAAAGTCACGGATGTTTCCTGACTTCATTTACATCAAACATTGGTCTGTATTTCAAATGTTTCACTTCTTTTTATCACTAAAACAATTCAAAATAATTTTACTGTAAATAGATAGTTACTATACGTAAAGTATGCCTTGCTATGTGTTTGTCTTACGTTGCTGTGAAGTCTAATTTTAAAGCAAAATCTACTAGATTTGTAACATTGAAAAGCTTTTCGATTAAACTGTCAGTACTAAACATTATTTCTTAGCCGATTCACGATTTACCTTGTCTAATATTTCACGTCCTTGTCCTGATCGGGATCAGGTTCGCTCATTTCTTCAATTCTCTTTTGCATCTCCTCTTCAGACGGATGTTCATACTTTCTTTCTTCATCATCATCGTCATCATCGTCTTCACAAGCACTATCATCATTCCGCACGGAGTCCTTTCTTCCTTTCCTAGGCGGGGTTTGTTCGCGCCTTGGAGGCCTTCCGTTTCTTCGTCCATGATCATCTTCATCCTCGTCGTCGTCTCTTTTAATCGAGCGACGGTTTGAAGTTTGTTTGCTATCCCTTCGCGGAGATTCGTCTTCGTCATATCGTCTGCGTTGATTTGACGCTTTCCGGTTGTCTCGCTTAGGCGACTGATCTTGGTGACGACCGCCTCGTCTTTGTGGTGGTGAGGATGGTTCCTGGTCGAAGTCTTCATCTCTGTCCATGTCGTCATCGTCATCATCATCTTCTTGGTAACGCTGGTATGAACGCCCGTGCTGATCAAAGTGTTCGTCTGATTGTCTCCCGTTACTTTGACTATCTCTGTCACCATAGTAACCATTTTGTTTCTGACGATCGCCGTTCTTTTGCTTTTGTTTGTAGCCATTACGTTTTGGTGAAGCGTCTCGTGACATTTTACGACCAGGTTCATCGTGCTCCCCACAGGCCCAAAATTTATCTTCATTAGCTTCCAGTGCTCTTTTTATAGCGCTCACACTGTTTATCTGAAATAATATATTAAGGTTTGACTCGTTTATTATTATCATCACAGTAATTATAGCTAATACGCTTGGTCATTTTAGTTTCATTTCACAAAGTTAAAGAATGCAAAGCACTATTCTACACAAGAGCATCTATCATCGGCAAGAAATCATTCTACTCTTGTAAAGTAAGAATAAAAGAATGACACTTGCCGATGATAGAATGATTTTTTGCCGGTGATATATGATTCAGTTTAGAATCAACCTTCACATTTAAATATTCAATAATTACATATTATGTAACTTTTGCAGCGATTTATCACGTCATTGCTCAAACCTTTTCATCACCTTATAAATTGGACCCCATAAAACATCTATCAAACCGTGTAAATTGTGACAAAAAACTTTACAGAGATTTATAATGTCAGTTGAAATATCATGTTTTACATTCATAAACACGTGCAATAGAAATAGAAGAGATTGTATTTTGTATGATGTTAAGCTATTTATAACACGCACATGTATCTAGAATATTGGCATGTTAATTGCTATAATTTTGAAATGTTTTGAAATGTAAATATTTGTTGCATTATGATACAATCTTATGCTTTGAATACAAATTACAGTAATGCCACTCATTTCCATAGAGCTAAAACATAACAGTATTTTCATTTACAGTTACAAGAGACAAGAGTTTTTGTCCGAATCAAACGTATTGATTATAGGTAGTTCAAGAGGATTTGTTTCTATTGATTTAAAACGTAGAAAAGATAGAGCATGAGCTTCTTCTACAGTTTATCTGTTTATACTGTCATCAATTTTTACGAGTAATAAAACTTTGCGGGGTTCGCTTTTAAAGTTTAAAAAACCTTTAATCGGGCAACCGATTTCTTGAGCGCGTTGTTTTTGTAATATCTTATTCCCGCGTCTAAGTATTATTTAGCCATTATTCGCCAACCTAGCTTTTTAGTTTCATACATGAGGAAAAAAGAAAATAACCCATTGATAGCATGCATGTTCCCATCATTTTGATGACGTAATTATGTTTCTATAAGTGATTGTATGTTTCAGCTTTCTCTGAATGTAGTGATTGAAGAATTATTGAAACATCTATGTTATTGAAGATTTACCTTATCATTACAAAACATACATTATTTTATACTGATCTGTTAAAATGAACTGAAGCAATATGTCTTTAGAAATTGACTTTTGTTGGATCGAATACTTTCTTTTGAGCTTATGTTTATAATTGCCAAGTGCTCACTTTTATGAATTATAAATATTCATTTCGCGATATATGTAATATACTTTCGTATAAATGCACTTTAGGAAGTTTATGTGAATAATGTACTATTCCATCAAGTTGTACCATTTTTTAGAATTCAAACAATAATTTTGCAGCATATGTATAACTTTATACGCTTTGAAATAAAGAAATGCATAGATACATGTAAAACAATTAAAAAGGCATATATTTCGGAAAAGATATGCTTTATTACTTATAAGTTGTCATATAAATGCCTTTAATAGGTTTCATATTATATCATAATTCTATTTTCAAATGCGGATATATACGGATATTACCTTTTTTGGATGTTTGCTCATGGTGTATAGGGTAACTATCTTAGGGTGTTTATTTCCAAACATTCCGCGGATGTTTTCAAGTAAACCTTCGTACGGTTGTTGACTTTTCTTGTCAATAAATATGCTTACTTCTTCCCCGGTAGCCGCTGATGTAACTTTCAACGTATTTGATTGTCCACCATTCAACTGACTGTTACGGCTATATTTCTCAGTAAATGCAGACCCACCAACGCTTGAACTTTGATGCGGAATCTTCCCATAATTTCCCTTCTTATAGAGCTTTTCCTTCCTGTCAGAACACACATAGATAGTTGTATTAGGGTCTTCCTCTATGTCATAAACGCTTTCGATAAGTTCACCTTTAGGCCAGCTATACAAGCAATCCACACTACTGTTGTTAAACTTTGCTTTACGATCTAGAATCTCTTTAAACAGTGGTTCCAGATCAGGAAACCGTTTAACACTGAATGTTACATTAACACTTTTGTCGTTTTTATATCGTTCCCCATTCGTGTACACAGAGATGATCTTTGCTTTAATAAGGGATGTGCGCATTTGTAATGAAGGCCTTCCACTGTCATACCGGTTGACAGGTCCTTGGTTACTGTTTTGAGGACGTGAATAGTTTTCATACTGTCTACCACTGTCCACCTGAAAACAAAACGTGTGAAGTATGTTTGAAATGGTCGAAATATTAGTTTAGTCGGAACTTTGGGAAAAGGTACAAGAAGGTATACATATGGTAAACGTACAAATAGTACTTGAATACGTCATTTTTGTTGATTTCTACACTTAACACATGTCTGCGCTGTTTCTTGTTTGATAAATTTGTAGTTTGTTTGCACTTTTTATATAATTAATAACGACATGTTTAAAGAGCAGGTAAAGCGGAAACTCTTAAATGTTACATTTACATTGTTGGATTGTATTTCTTTAAACGCTATCCGTAGTCACTACCAAAGGACAATATAACAATAACACATTACATGTAATAGACAGGACGGACAGTTATATGTTTTTAAAATCAGTTTTTTTTTGTATCTACATGTAATAACATCAAGAGAAAGTCGATTTAACTTTCATTTTCTTCTTACCTAAACTATTTATCAGTCAAAACAAAAACAAAACGTACTGAAACAACTAGAGCATCAGTTTTAAGCGTGTTATTATTATTATTATTATTAATTTATTATTTATCATTATTATTATAATTATTATTATTATTACAAAAATGTATTATTAGTATTATTATTATTATTATTAGTAGTAGTAGTAGTAGTAGTAGTACTAGTATTAGTAGTATTATTAGTATTATTATTATTTTATCTAATACTAACAGAGGTGTGTTGAACAGACCATCGAAATGATCTTAATTTCATTTACATCGTAAGGAAACTGATATGGCAGCATATTGCTAAGTGTCAATTTGCAACAATTCAATGAGAGCGCAAAAGCTGGTTGGCATCCACTTGTTTCTTTTAAACAATTCATAGCATTTATTAGATTGACACTAAGATAATGATATCCCTAAGGCTTGTTCTACAACGCTTCAATTAACCCGTAATAAATAATTCATAGCATGCAATAAACCTTTGTCGATACAAAATATTTACTTGAACAGAGCGTGGAATACAAATCCTGTTTACATTGTCCGCTTTGGTTACCTACATGTTTACTTTTCAATTTGAAAAGTGGTAGTAATTAACAGAATCACTTGTGGAAATCTTCCAGTAAGTAAAGACAATAAATTATGCATTTTGAACGTCATTTCGTTGGAATGGTATGTGATCAAACAATCGGAGGTCGATTTATTCCCTATGCCAGGGACCAAAGGTTATAATTTATTCAAACAAACAATCGACGTTTATATGGTGCCAGCCTATGTTATCATACAGATCAAGGTAGAAACCAATAGGTAGGAACATTTGACCGAGAGTCATGTCGGCCAATAAGCACCAAATATAGTTAAAGTATACTATTCGCGAAACATTTTAGTCATTTCATATATCTTAAAGTCTTTCGTACAATTAGCTCTAGAACAGAAACGTTTCTACAATCCAATCTCAAGGTGCGTTTGAATATAAGCTTTAGATACCTGAATGTTAACAACAATGTAGGCAGTATCAATATATGAAGAAGAAGAATAATTTTATTTAACTTATACATTTACATGTATCTCGTTATACATCAACTAGTAATACATATAAAACATTTTATTTGTCTGAAAATGACAATAAATGTCGAATTCGTTGTACCGTATCATATAGATCAATAACAATATTTTTTCAATGGTTGTTCTTTTTTTTATGAAAACTTGTCAAAAGATAAAGGTTTCCCAACACGGCAAAATTGAAAATACTACAGGCTCGGTTTCATTGGGACGGTGCATGGATGGCAGTGGCAAACTTCTCTACGAGCCCCGACTTAAGCAGAAACCAATATTTTGAATAAGAAAAAAAATAATTTAGAATAAGAAAACATCCATAGATGTAATCAAACGGCGATAATCTTTCAATGCGACCCCTTCGTGCTTTTCTATATTTGTCTGCTTGGTTGGTTGGTTGGTTTTACGGCGCACCAACACAGTAAATGTCATTTGGCGCCGGAAAGAAAAGATGATTTTGACTAACCCCATGTGTTACAAACTTCAAAGCAACACCAGGGATCAAAACCACCCCATCTGCTGGAGCTTAGAGATGCATGGACTCCAATTATTCGAACCTATTAAGTAGCATCTTACGATCATGGAGAGATAAACGGTGGGCCTCAACTATCAATGGCAACAGTGGCGTATGTTGCCGTGTAAAGGATGAATTATGACAGGGGATCAGGGCTTATGAAGTCAACATATCACAGAAACCTTGACAGTATTTATTTGCAACTATGTACTCTGACCTTTAAATGTTTAATTTTGACACGAAGTGCAAAATTGTACAGTCAATCAAAAGCAATACTTTACAACATAATACTAAAACATATTTCGCACATAAAATGCGATCTAAAAAATTAAAAGCAGGTGTCATTAGTTTATTCCCCGTGCGTGTTGTTGCTTCATTACATTGATATCTGTATTTTCCATTAATGTAAATCAATACCATTCCAATGGGTGAAACGCAAATGGATTATCATGTTTTGTTTGGTGCAAAAATATCCATGGAAACCCTTTTATAGCTAATAGGTATACGGTATTCGACCTTTTATTAAAATCATTGAGAGAGAATAACAATATAGAGTAATTTCTATACAATATCACGGGCATTGAATAAGATACGTCATGAAGGCAATAATGTTAAAAAAGAGTGTTAATATACAGCAGGTGTAGATCAAAATTATAATGATAAAGACGTGACAAAATGATCTTGAATGTGATAATGATGACGACGACGATGATGATGATGATGCTACTGTTGTTGATGATGATGACGATGATGATGGTGGTGGTGGTGGTGATGATGATGATGATGATGATGAGAATTGTAATGGCGAAGATGATAATAATGATGATGTTGATCAAACAAAAATGTTAAGTAATTTGTAGAAATGTTTGTTTAAAACTTGTAATTAAGACAAATCTACCATCTGTATATACCATTTAAATAAGTCGTTTGTAATTGATATATACCTTAACAATGAGTCGTATGCTATTCATATATAACATAACAGTGAGTCGTTCGCAATTTATATATACATTGTATCCATTTTATGATAGCAGTATGTCGTTTGTGATTTATTATGCCAGTGGTTGTTTGAATACTTTTTACTGACTTTAGTTAAGTTTCAGAAATAAGATTGTTTACCATAAGTGAATCAGTAACATAAATTGAGTGCTTATATTTGACATATACGGGTTTGAACTAAAAGTTATCAAATAGATTATATATCCAGCATTGTAAATTTTAATGTGTGGCTATATGCCGTAAAAACATAGTAAATTATTCATTATGCCAAGGGATTGAAAATTATTTAATTTTTCATTCCAGTATAAATTATCTGCTTTTATTTAGAAAATATTTTTAAAGGCTGCCATGACGTTCGAATTATTATGATACTGTAATAAATATACCTCTTGTAAGCATGGTATCACAGTTCTATAACTTTCCATTTATAAAATATTAACTAATCACATTTGTCTATCAATCTACACTTCCAATTTCTTAAGCGTTACATTGTAGCATTAGAAAGAATGTAAAGTAAAACAAGATATGATTTTTACAATGAAATATCAAACGTTCACTTACCGTCTCATACCGTCTTTGTCGTACCATCATTAATTCAACAGCCTTACTTTCTTTTCATTAGAAATAGAACTTTCTTTGAAAACTTTGTAACTGATACAGTATATATGAAATATGAGTGTCTAACAGAATCTATCACTACTCTATAACTGGTAGCTTGAATTACGCCCGCCTTGATTGCTTATAGTTCTGGTGACGCTCTCTTCACAGAACTTTGTGAGGCGTTAAAAGGAGGGTAGGTAAAAAAGTAACGATCTTAATTGGCAATATTAGCTATTGAATTGAACAGATGCATGTAATTCAATTAGCATATGAAATATTGATGTAATAACCAATATACTGATTGGTATGATGTTCGATAACTGCGTCACGAAAATGTATTATCCGATCCTATGACAAAACTACATTCAATTATAGTTATGTAATAGAGCTCCCAATATCCGGAAAACATAATGTCTGCTGGCTCCAAAAACAATGCATTTCATTCCTTAAAATTTATGTTTATTTATTTCTGCTATCTTTTAAAGATATCCTGCTTTAAATAAGTTTTTTTTTTTTGTTTTGAATAAAAAAGTCTAATTATGATATAGAAACGATTAACATGGACATAAAATCGATAACGATTATCGATTATTGAAATCTGCCTTGCAGTGTTTTTTTGTATGTGTGACATATGACGCTACCATGACATGGTCTTTGTTATTCCATATGTTGTGTTTCATGGTTATCTTGTTCGAAACTACAAAATTACAAGTACGACATTAACTGTAGAAAACTATGGCTTAAACTTATATTATTCTTATTATAAATTTTGATATCAATCTATTGAAAAATCGTTATAATTAGACAAATAATAATCACTCATGATCAAAAAGGTATTTAATTTCTATACATTGTATAATCCCCTTAAATATTAATAAAAATTATATTTTTTAGCAAATAATTATTATATGTATTTTATATAAATTAACAGTCTTTTTCGATCACTTAATTTTATTTACTTATGGCACCTAAAACCAAAGCTTATAATAGGTTAGGTTAATACTAGGTTATTGACTCGCTTTTATGGCACCTATAACCAAAGCTTATGATATGTTACGGACACTTTTTAACCCTTATTTAAACTTCTTATGGCACTTATACTAGGTTACTGACAGGTTTTTACAATCCTTATTTCAACTTATTATGGTAACTATAACCACATATTAATACAGAATAACATGCGGGGAGTTTATTGACCGCCCATCTCACGGAGAAGTATCAATTAATGATGCGCATATTGATTTTACCCGTTATTCACAGCTTTTGTTTCAGTTGATTAAAATCAATTTACGTAGATCTACCAATAAGGAACGAAGTGATACAGGTCAAATGGCCATGCCTAGAGGTTCTTAAGGGTAAATAGTCACGTATGTTTGACACAAGTATATAAAATACGACTTTCACAGGGATATGCCAACAAGTGCATATGTCTAGTTCTTTGTTTTCCAGTATTTTTGTGTTGTTTTTTTGTTTTTTTTTTTTTTTCATCAGTCATACAAATTTGTTATTGGTTCAATTTTAGAACTTGCAAAGAGAAATATAAAAAATGTACCATAGTACTATAGGTTTGAATGGCACATTTATTTGTGAACACGCATAGCAGTGTAGACATACATGTTTATGAATGTGACTGATTCATTGCTTCCGTTATATAACATAATCATTGAGCGCCCGTGCTTAAATTACCTGACGCAAATTCATAATAGTTTGTTCTTATATGATTTCTGAATTTGATAAGATCATTAATAGGAGTTATAATATTTCTATATTAATCATTAACGTAATTATCGGAAACTAGGAGACCGTTTGGCATTGAATATTTTTAAATTACTGCCACTAGCTATTTTCCTCTGACTAGCCTCTTTTTACCTGATGCGGCTTTACATACATCATTACTTATTTATTTCATCTTTTCCCTGATGTGCGTTTGTTATTTTACCTAATTACGGATCTAAACATTGTCGCCATAGTAATGGCGCGCCGAGTCCGTGTTTTGCTTGTATGTCGCTTATCAACGTATTATATTCCCAGAAGATGAATGAATAATTCCAAAACTGGATCCGTTTTCATTTTTCATAAATATGCGCATTAGAGCAATGGTAATATAGTGGTTCCAAAGCAACATTTAGGAAATTTAGATATAATAAAAGAAAGAATTATATCTTTATGATTTACTCGTGCGTGAATAATGTCGTACTTTTGTGGAAAACTAACGAAAAATCATCAATTACATTTTAAGTTCGCTCATTAGGCATTCACCTGGTTCAGGTCTGTCAGTGCGCATGCAATATGAATATTATAAAACATGCACGTAATAATAATGTCATATTATTAATTGATTATATCGATCTTGAAATACTCGTCGAAATATAATACTAGTAGTTCAATCTGTGTCAAAGATTTCTTATGTTCGTCGTAATTGCGGGTATATTTACGGTCTTTTGGTCGTTATTTTCAGATATTTGCCAGGTAAGTACGTAACCCGCTTGATATGTCATTACAAAGTATCTGAAAATAAATTATTTAAATTGAATAGAATATTTGTTTATGATATAGAAATAGATTTATTGACAATAATAACTGACTGTAAAATCAAAATAATCATGTATTGTGTATAATTTATTGTTTCATTATTATATTTTAGTGTATTGGTAAGTAAAGAAAGCATTTTTTTTTCACGTTCCGAGTTCCCTTTTTCTATCTCTTATATTACGGGCACCTTACACCAAGCAAGAAGTTGCTATTCCGAACAATATAGTACAGTAGATAACTGGACATGTTAGCCAGTGTATACATAATTACTTAGCATTAATAATATTTCTGCACTGTCAGAATAACCAGGAAAAGTAATACCAAATTTAACACGGCCGATTATGTTCTTTTAAAATAGTAATTGCTGCATGAAGCCCATTGATTAAGCTTCATGTTTTAATATACTAGCTCATTGATGTTTCAAATGTCGTTTAGTTTCTATGACAGTGTTGTTTTTTTTAAAGTAACATATTTGTTTACAGAGCCATAGAACGAACAGGGGAGGTTTTTATTTAATTATATGTGATTAACTCGGTGTCACGAGATCATAAGGAACAGCAAAAACAGTTAACTCTTGGAAACGAGATAGAAAAAATAAAAAATAACTAGTTGATAAAGGTATAAAAACTTTAACAGAAAACGAACATTAGCTCGTCAACATAAGATAATAATAATAATAATAATAATAATAAATATTACAATAATAAAAATAATGATAATAATAATAATAATGAAAATGATAATAATAATGATAATAATAATAAATAGAGGATATTGAATGAGTGTAGTTTAATACTAAATTTATTGAACGAGTTGAATAAAATCATATTATGCGAGCCTCTGCTCTGTAAAAATTTACCGTTAAATTTATAGTCGTTTACTGGTATTCCGTAACGGGTTTAGCCCGTACACTACTATACGGTATCGGACCTTCGTTTGCGTTGCATTGCGGGATGGCGTTCCACGGCAGCCATTTTACTAAGTGTGACAAGAGGTAAAACATGTCTTACAAAAAATCCTAATTAGTACAAGAATTTGCTCGCTACGGATTTTTTGTTTCAAAGAACAAAATGTTATATTTAATTGATTTTCAGAATGTCATTTGATTACTCGATATAAAGCTTTTATAAAATTATGCTTAATATCTGAAAATTACTACCCCACCCACCTGGCAGCTGGACTCCAGCATTGATCCGTATATTTACTGGGCCTCCGTAATGTTTAAGGCCTGTAATTTTACTGCTTGACCAGTATTTTTACGCCAAAACATGTTACGGATAGCCCGTAAATATACGGGCCAAGTCCTGGAAACCAGCTGCCAGGACTTTTCCCGTAAAATTTTACGGTAAATTTTTACAGTGCTGCATGGCGAGCATATTATTGTTTTATTCAACGAGTTCAATAAATTTAGTATTAAATTTACACTAATATAATATTATTTTTATCACATATATAAAATAAGAACAGTAAACTGTTAAAATGAGTAATTTTTCAATGACGCGCCGATAGTGTAACGCTAACATTAGCGCGCTTTAACGCTATGTTTCTATATAGCGCAAATGACGTCACGTCAAAGTGTTATCACACTAGTGTAATATCGTTTTTATTAAATGGCTTTTTTTACACTCCTGCGCCGCGGTTTATGTGATAAATTCTTTTAGATCGTTGCGAAGAGATAATAAAAATGAAAAAGAAAACAAGTTATATTATAAAACGTGAATCGATTGTTATGTAATGACTGTTTTGTTACACTGACCTACTTTGCATAGTTTGTGAAGCGGAAATGTTGTTTTAAGCAAAAACCTGTATAGACAGTGTACAACGCACATGCACAATTCAATCAGCTACCGACCATTTATTGCTGCAGTTCATTTATTTTGCAGATATGATCATAAAAAGTACTTATACATGAACGACATTGTCTTCAGTTTTAAAGGCACATTATGCCCCAGAAAGGTATATATTTATGTTAAATGCTTATTACCCGAAATAAGAAGCGTTAAATGTGAAATTAATTGTCAGAAACATAGAGAAATGTGAACAAAGCAGTATTTTGACATTCATACAAAATATTAAATCACTATATCTGAACTTATTCCTAGAAAGCAACAGACGCAAAATATGAATCAGATGATTGGTTAATGAGTTACCTTTTTGAAATTATAACAGGACATAAAAAACAAAAAGCTTTTCAGGATTGAAATAAACAACATTTATTCGGCATAATGGGCCTTTAAATTATATGATTGTAAATTATACATATTAAATAGTAACCAGCAGTCCATTGAATTTGTTCTACAACTATAAAGGTATTATTCAGCATGACAGTCGGGCCTTAAACACATGTATGTTAACTATAATGCCATATAATATTATCATGTGCTTTGAACCATTCTCAATAATTCATTGCGCTTGGGTACGCATGTAAGAAACATATATTTTATGTCCGTTTAGATCATATACGGGTAGTAGACACGTTAAAGCGTTAAAGTTGTCGGGGTCTCTATTTGGATTAATTATAATAATGTGGCGATTTTTTAACCCCCCAAAAATCATACTAACTGTAATGCTTCATTTTTGAGGTTGGATTTTGCGTCGCAGCAACATTTTTAAGGTAATATAGCGTCT